AAAAGGTGATTAAAAAGTAGAAAATAATAAGAAAACAATTATATAAAAAAATATGAAGAAAATTATTATGAAAAATAAATAAAAAATAATAAGATAAAAAATGATTACAAAAAAGTAAAAGATGATAAGATAAATAAAAATGTAAAAAAAGTTAAATAATAAATAAAAATAAAACAAGTGATAAAAAAAGTTAAAAAAAAGAAACAATTAAAAAAATTAAAACTAACCCTGCCACCCCCGCCATCCGGTTGCCATTCTCCAAGGTGCATTAAGGAACCTGGCCTTAGGGCAGCAGGGAGAGTAAATCCGGCCCTAATGCCGGTGTTTCATAGTGAAGGTCTAGCTTTCTGCAATGTATTATATTTGAATGTGGCTAACTAGATGAGGAATGGTTTCCGTAGCATATTTTATAACTGTGTAGTACAAGACATTTGGCTCAATGGCCCATAGAATGCATGCCTCTGCTATTGGAAGATCCAGATCGCAGGAAGACTTCTTTTTACTGAATGTATTTTGTGTTGCAGGACATTGCTTCTTTCGTCTCTATGAAAAACTGCTAGACCACCAACATACCTGTTTCAAGAAGTGCCCCATACAGTGCACGTAAGTAACCTGTCTTCTTTCCACGTAATACCAGAAGCAAGTATGTCACAATGCCAACAATTGCATGATATAGTCAGAAGGTCTGTACGCTGGAGTCCTGCACTGTCACCTGACATGGAGCAGTTGTTGGGCAGAAAAAAACGTACTGAGGGACTATGGAGGTTGCTGACCTCTCCTTCTGAAAATGCTTGTTGCCTGGCTGTCATGCTGATTTTAACATTTCAGTAGTTTTTAAGGCACCAACCTGGATCAAGAATGCTAAGTAGGAATCTTAACTTTGCTCTGACTAATCTGCATGTTTGTTCTGGATCAATGAGTCAGAAAGTATTGAAGCCTCAAACAGCGAGAGAACTGGTATTCTCATAAGGAGCTCAGCAATGGCAGGCCACTGGACAGTAAAAGGAGAGCAGCACACTGATGAGCTCATCTCTCCATCACTTGGCTCTCTCCTCTTATCAGCATGCTCTTTGCACTGCAGCAAACCTGAGTGGCTCATGGTGCTACTTTCCCCTCTGCTTTTATGAGCTCTGCTGCACAGACTAACAGGGGACTGCAAGAGGCTGATACAAAGTAATATTCAGATAGATGCACTGCAGTTCTGTAGGGGTTTTGGATCGGAATGAGGATACAGACTTTGCGGGCTATGTCAGGTTACAGTAAAACCACATATCAGTTATGGTTAAAAGTCATGGGTTAGGTGAACAGGTTAGGTACAGGTCTGCAGAAACAAACCTGGTAATGTTTACATAATTTCCTATGAGTTCTATAAACACATGGAAATATTCTCAATAGTGACTTTTATTTCTTTTATCAGGGAGACAATGTACTACCTGTCGGCAGGGTTTGCTAGATGGCCGTCAACAGTGTCTAAGGTACTGATCTAAATAACTGTCAGTGTTCTCTGTAGCTCTATGTAATTCTGATGTGCTAATGAATGCAGAAAATCATTATTCATACTGAAAATATCAGTTTGTATTTCGCTGTGCAGTCTTTCCATGGTTAGAGTCTCTTACAGACAGGATCACACAATCTTCTATTGTAAATATCTGATAGGTTGCCTCTCCTGCCGTAATCTTCTTGTGGGCCTCATTCACAACCACTGAGAACCCTAAAAGAGTAGCTTCTGGTAGCAAGTGAAGTCAACCAGTGAACTAGTAATGCTATCGAGGAATCTCTGCAGCAATGCTGAATTCAGCAGATCAATTCAGGTTACCCAACTGCCAGAACCAGTGAACACACAGGCCTAAAGCTGGCCATACACCTATAGATTATCTGCAGACTTTCTATGGTCAGATGGAAAAGGTGTAACAGATTCCTCCATCTACGCTAAACTGTGTGGATGGAGGAATCTCCTGCTGGGCCAAGCTTCAGTATCTTGCTAGTTGGCCCCATTGGCTCTCAAAATACCGGAACAATGCCTGCATCAAATCAGATTGTTCAGGTATTTTAAAAGCCATCGGGGCTGACTATCAAGATACTGCATCTTGGTCCAGTGGGAGATTCCTCCATCCACACAGTTTAGCGTAGATGGAGGAATCTGTTGCACTTTTTCCATCTGACCATAGAGAATCTGCAGATAATCTATAGGTGTATGGCAAGCTTAAGTTTTATTTTTAAACAGTGTGAATGGGGGAATCTTCCCTGCTGGGCTATTGTATGTTGACAAGGATTGGTTCAGCCATTGCTTGGCCACCAATTTTCAGCTTGTCTCCTTAGACAAAAGTCGATTGAGTAGTCCCCACATGGTGATCCACAGCTTGAATTTCCTGCTGACGTGGACGCAATTCAAGCTGTGTATGGCCAGCTTTACATAAGATAACAGCCACATAGTGCATTGTATTAAATAAATCAACGGAATTATACAATTAGTAACTAATCTCCTTTATATGTGTTTATATAAACATTGAAATGACTATACATTAATTTTTAAGCCAGATATCCAGACTTTAAAGAACCATAAACTGATCCAGCTTATTACAGTCCACATATCACCCTAATGCTTTTTTTTTTCCTGTTCATTGTTACAGAGCTTGTTCCTTACACAGTTGTCCTCTGATTATGGATACAACAGCACTGTTAACAGGTGGGGAAATAATTTATATCACTAGATGTTGGTGGGACACAAGTTGGAACAGCATAGCCTTGATCTCCCTTGGGGCTGCCATTGACGCCCAAACATTCGAGAGCCCAGAGCTGCACCACAGCCAGGATGGATCCCGACATCACCGTCGAGATCCACCCTGCTGGCTGATTGACAGCTGGCTCTGCCGCACTAGAGACAGTCAGTTGTGCCCGCCCCCTCCCTGTCCGTTCCTCCAATCAGCGCTGGTGAAACGGAGAGGGAAGGGGGAGAATGACAGCCACTGCTCTCTGCAGGGAGAGGATCGGGAAGTCAGCGATTGGCTGTATGGGTTTGCTGACTTCATGATCAATAGAGCTGACCTGTAACAGAGTCAGTGTCCCAGGTCGGCTTGAATTATGGGGATGAGTGATGAGATTGATCCTTTAAGAATCATTCCCTTTTCACCATGAACCAGCATTCAGGTACCACGAATGGTCATGTAATATTAGCAGTTCTGTTGCTGGTGAGAACTTGTCAATGACAAAATCACTAAGGTTACCCGTGGCTTCTCCTATGGCATTGCAACCTTGCTGACTGAACCGGTGTAGTTGCATTTCTCCCTCATTAAGTGATGGAGATTCTGCATACTTTTGGCCATCAAGGGAAATACCGTATGTCTATCAGAGTAAATGGCATTAGACTTTCCATGATTTCTTGTGTGATACAGGTCATGTTTTTCAAACCTCCACATACAAGCACAGCTGAAAAATTGCTGAGCATCTTTGATTAATCCCCAATGCTTTGTGACTACCTGGAAGACCATTCAACATGACCAGCTGTTGGGCCTTGAGGCCTGAAGTTGGAAGACGCTGCATTATTCAATCTACATGTGTGTGTCACAATTGGGGGCCCTGGGGGTTCATAAGTCAACCGGAAAAACTGACCTGCCACTGCAGTGAGATATGTATCCATAATAGTTGGATTATTTTATTATTCATTCTAAGTGTAGTATTATGGTTAATTGTTATAATTTTGTCTCATTCCAGGACTGAATTTTCAAAGATTAATGTGTACTTCCAAGAGCTGAATCTGCAATCTTTTGACGAAACTCCAGCGATCAGTGTGAGTGGGCAAAATATTTGTCATCAAATTATGGTATTAGTTAGTCTGACATAAATGGCTCGATACAAGCAAGCAGATTATGGCCATCAACTTCAGATTATTGGGATGTTCCTCATGTACTATAGGGTAATAATAAACACATTTGACCAGTAGCTGTCAATGTAGACAGCTAGAGGTGCTAGATATCATACAGGGAAATTCTGCAACCTTTTCAAGTCTCTCCTGACCTTTCAGTGTTTCATGGAGAGGAGTGAAGGAAAGGATGGGCAGATATCTCTCAACCCATCGTTCTCTGGAATATATCTACTCCTTAGGGCCTATGGGATTTGTGGTTGCATCTACCGTGGATCCATTGGAACCAGAGTCTTTATTCCAGCAGCTCCAACTTTTTGATACTGAAATACATCCTACCTTAAGGGCTTGTTCACACCAGGTGCATTGAGCTGCATTTATCAACGGAAGCTTGAAACAAGGGCACATGGAAAACAAATAATGCTGCGTCAGGGCGCATTGAAGTACAGCGCATTAAAAAAACACACTCACTAGACCTTAGATTCAATGGCAGTTCAGAGTGAGAGGTAGTTCTTCTCTTGGCTGTGTCATGCGAGACGTAGCTAAGGGAAGACTCCCGTGGCTCTGAATTGTCCCTGACAGGTGGGCAAAAGTGGTGTAGTAGTGCTAATGCCAAAAAAAATGTCAGACGGCCATGGCTTCAGGACCCAGGGCATGCCACAAAAGATGTGGTGCATCTGCACTACGTGCCGGGCACTAGTGACACCCATTCTTGAGTGACAACTTTGAGTCTGCTGGGGCTGCTAACATCACATCCAAGATGGCAGCACCCAGCAGCAGTCTCAAGGCTTTTGAATGTCCACACAATGGAGGCTTTCACAGATGAATAACAGAGAATACTTTCAATGCATATAATCTTATGGGAACATTTTTGTTGAAATGAATGGTCTGGTGACAAGGCCTCTTTAAAGAGAACCTACCAGGACAATGCCGAAGGAAGTGCCATTGCTGCTCATAACCTGTCATCCTTATTGCTTCTCTACCTAGCGAGTCACTGATCCAGAACAAGATTGAACCCCATGAAAAATCAAGATGCCTAACATGCACATATTTTTTCTGTGTCATCGGTTTCTGAAGGAAGAAGATTATGACAGCCTGGAACTTACAATTTTCAAAAAACAAACAGAAATAACAGTTCCCAATTGGTTGTATGAGGCACTAAACAAGTTCTGTCACTGTAAGAATACTGAATGTTTCTGACAGCAGCAGCATCTTTTAGTATCCTCTGATTTTCCTCAATGCTGGGCTGTTCTGAATCAGCAAAGCTCAAACACTTTTGGTAGTGTTGGAGCTTGCCACTTAGCCAGAGGGCTAATTGAGTCTCTTGGCTGTCCCATTTCAATACTCTTGTGAGTACCCTATCCAAATATGAAGAGCATTGTATACAGCCACTTTTCACACTCTTTTACCAATATAGCTGTTAATTGAAATCAGTAACTTAAAACAGCAATACATTACTAATATATGCAAGCAATGCAATAATACTAAGCATGGATGATAATCAGGACATGTTGGGGTTACCTAGAAAGCAGCAGCAATCACTCGGTAGAACTTGTTCACAGAAATGTTCAACATCAGCTAAATGGGCAATAAAATGAATGTCTTGCTTAGAGATCTGCCCATTTATGGCCAGCCTTAGATGAATATCCATAATTGTCTCTCATGTTCTTGTTTTTTTTATCACATTTGAGAAGGTTGATAAACCTCACACACTGTTATCCTTTTGCAGAGCCATGATTTGTTGTCTACCATGGGAAACCAGTGGAGTTTCTATTTTGGCTCATCGGTGCTTTCAGTGGTGGAGATAGCCGAGCTGGTCTTTGATGTTGTAGCTATGGTGATCATCATCAATTATGCCAAACGTAAAAAGAAACAGGTAACCAACAATAATGAGGGTCCGTATGTCATCAGGATGGAGGGATTGTCAGGTCTCGATGGGAAAACGTTACCCAACTCTTCACTCAATGACCAAGATCTGCCTAGCTACCGTAGCTGTGACACCAAATCAGAAGAGATATGAAGGCTGTTGATACGCATTTCATGACAACAAAACTTCATTATCATGACGTAATATTATAACAAAAGCATGACAAAGAAAGCAGATTGGGACAGTCAAGAGTTCAAAGCACATCAATGAAGAATATTATAACAAACCAAAGATGAATTTTCTTAGGCTTGCAATTCAATAACATCTCCTGTCCTTTACAACTATATAGAACTGAGAGGTTGGCAACAATTTTCAGAGTTTGCTGTCCTGCATATGTTGTGCTACTGTCCTGCCTCCACTTTGTCTTCGGACTTCAAGGTATACAACTAGTATCACCACACTCTTGCTCACCCTGAACTCTCATCCTACCGTTAGTGAATATTTTTAAGTAGATTTGTCTGATGTGCAAAATCATGCAGTATAGGGAGCAGATTATGAAGAATAATACATTCAATAATTCTCTGCAGATTGGGCAAGCATGCATTAACATTTGGGGATTTATTGATTGACCTAGGGCAGTGTATTGTCTAAATACGGTCCTACTTGTCATGATCTATAACTGCTGGTAGATCATATGTTTCTTAATGTAGCCTGCAACATGGCTTTGGAACTCAGGTTGTTGTTACTTGGTCTTCATTTTAACTGGGCACCAAGCATGCTGAGCCTCAGGAGAAGCCATTGTCAGTGTAGGCAAGGTACTTGCACTGCGGTCTGAAACAGAACCACATTTAATGAAACTTGTATGATGTCCCAAATGTCATGGGAATTCTACTACCTCAATTTTCTCTCAGCACAGGTTTACTTTAAACTGCTAGTCTAACGTATCTTCTGGTGATCGTTTTTTGATGCCCCAGATCATCCTTCGTTTTTGGGAGAACCTCTGACCCCCCTCCCTTCCTAATTTTAAAGGAACTCTCTGAGCCCCACTCTTGGTTTTAGGGGAACCCTCTAAGTCCTCCCCTTATTAGTTTCATGACCCTTTGAGCCCCTCCTTTCTAAGTTTTAGAGGGACCCTCTGAGCCCCACTCTTAGTTTAGGGGAACCTTCTTAGCCCCTCCCATCTTCATTCCAGGAGAATCCTCTGAGCCTCTCCTATATGCAGCAATTAATATTCAGGAGAAACCTGTAGTTTAAAATGTAGAATATACTAAGGTCCTGCAAGGATCTATAATACTATTAAAGGCTGTACCCCTCAACAACCATTTAGGCTGCTATGTGATGGAGGGGGATCAGTGTAATCTCTATGATGTTTTATATACCTCCACTGCTAAGACTTATAGTCTCTGAGCTGAGGCTTATTCTCTGTGGTGTAGCAAACCATTTTGCGTTGTCACTGTGTAAGCAGTTCAGCAATGAGTTCACTTGGTACATATGACCTTCTACATACAGTACATAGCACTATCACAATATCTTTATCAGAAGGTACTCTTTGTCTCTTTTTGTCCTTGGCACTGTTCCTGTAATATAAAATAATCATAACCATGACCACTCCTTTAGCAATCTCTTTCCCACCAGGAACCAGAACTAGCTAGTCGCTAGATATATCTGCACAAGTCCAGCCACATTTTCGGGTGTATTTTTACTGAGTTAAAAGTTAACCAGCTCTTTGTTCTGGAGAGTTTTCCAAGGCATTAATGAACACACGCTCCAAGGAAACCCATCAACAGTGTAGACATGGCTTTTATGGGCCTCAGAAATTTGATTGTATCTTATCTAGCAACTGTACTGAAAAATGTTATTTGAATACTAGACTGATCCATATATAGAACCATGTTTGTTATCTGTGAAGGGCACTGTGCAATATGACTATAGCAGAGAAAAAGATTTAGATTTTTACTGCTCGATATTTATACCTCGGTATAATTGGATCTGTAAATTGCACAATTTACTATGAAATCTTTGGGAGTTATTGTGACACATGATAACTTAAAGCAAAAATATACAGTGAAATATAAAGAAAAGATGAATCCAGTTTTGTTTGTATAAAAATAATTGCATTTTATTTTGACTTACCTAAATCTCTCTTGAAATTGGCCTTCTGTAATGCCCTGCAAGTCAGCAAACTCGGACATGGAAGATCAACATTATGAATTAATAAGGGCTCTATTGCTTTGAATGTGCTATCCATTGAACGCAGTGGCGTAACCAGAGTTCTGGGCGCCCGGGGCAGAATTTTTTTTCCGCCCCCCCCATTATATAAACAACCATTGGAACTGTACCCTGCACCTCCCCCCCCCCAAACACATGTTTTTATTTTAATTTTTCAAATTTTAATATTTTATTTTTTTTGAAACTTTTTCATTTTTTTTAA